CTTCCCATCAGTGATTTTCTTAAAGTTTTGGAGTGACTGACAAAACATTTTGGAATTTATCATTAAAGCTTTATCCCATTGATCTCAAGTTTTTTTTTTTTGTGGGAATATGGGGTTTATTTTTCCCGCTCTGGGGGTCTTAAGGATTGATTTCGGTTTTGGTTCTCTTCGAATAGGAAATAAATGTTTTCTGAGGGGGTTGATCTGAAGTTTTTTCTCTTACCGAAGATTTTAAATACAACTTTTTCTTTCAAGTTTTGGTATGCTAAAACCGACAAAAATTTTGGAATGAGACATTATGCACAATCAAAAAAACTGAAAAATTTTTTCCACTAGTGACGAAAAAACCCAAGATGTTTCGCCCCGGGGCGAGAACTTCGGTTTTTTATTGTGAATAGTGTTTTATCCCAAATACTGGGCTTGTCAATGTGCTGAGGTAGAGGGGGCTGGGGTTACAGATAGGGTTACCCCTCAACCACTCAGCGACAAAACATCGTTATGTAGTGGTCCGAGTTAGGCCCCTGTAAAAGATTTATTTTAATCCCGCTCAAATTTTCGATTAATTTTCCAATATGAAACAACCCTTGGTTTTTGGTTTGTAATCCGAGCCACACCAATCCCCAAGCATTGCAATCGGGGGACATTCAGTAAAAGATGAAAGCTGCAGTGAAAAAAGTTGATGGGCATGTTTATAAACTTTGAAAGGGTGTGAGTAAAGAAGAAGTTCTTTAATTAAAAAAATCATTCATTTTAGTCACAGTTTCAGGCACGTCTTGCTACTTGTATTCACTTGGGAAAACACTACACATGCATGTAAAGCTATATATACACCCCCTTGAGTTTTCCCCCCTTTTCCTACTCCTTTTGTTTTTTTCCTCTCATTCCAGGGGGGAAGTGGAAAAAACCCTTTCCCTCCGTAAGTCATCGTGTCGTAAAGGCGACTAAAATCCCGGGGAGAAGGGGGTAGAAACCCTTTTTCTGTATAATTACTAAATTAAAAAATGAAACTTTTTTTTTTTTTTCTTTTTGGGTCACCCTGCCTGGGTGGGTGCTCCTGGCTCTTTAAAATATATATAAAAAACAAGGCTAAAACCCAAAAGGTCGTATGTTGTAAAAATGGGGAAATAAAAGCCTGACACCAGCTGGCAATCTGGGTTATGCAGCCTGCCAGAAATTTGGCCCAATGAGTGCTCTTTCCTGTTAAATAGAGAATTCGAAATTTAAACAGTATCCAAAGATTTTTTAATTTATCCTTTAATGGTCTGCAACTGCTGAAAGCAAGGCGCTGTGCCCCAAAGTCTGGGTAAGGAAGTCTTGTATCACCCATCGTTTTTTAAACAAAAATTTAGTGGAGAAATTATTTCTAAAAACTGAACCTTGCTGCTTTTTCTTGCTTCTTCCTTACCAGAACACTCGCAGCAAGCCGAGTGTTTCAGAAGTTCGTCACACACTTGAACCCCTTGGGAGGAATAGAAGAAAGGAGAAGCCTAGCCCAAACCCGCCGCCCCGGTGCCCACGGATTAAGGAGTCATGTGAGCTGACTCCCGGGGGCGCCTTTTTTTGTTTTTTTTCCTGTTTTCTGTACTTTCTTAAAAATTCATTATCGTTTTCGACGCTTTAGTTTGTTCCTCAGGGGGAAACCTTTACTTTTCAATATCAAAAAAAAGAGATCGAATGGGTGGAGAAAATACAAATAACCCGCTTTTGGTCCCGGATTTTACCTGGGGGGAGTTCCGGGGGTCAACCCCCCCGGGGCCCGGTCTGGGGCCCAGGCTGTTGGGCTGCAGCAATCCATTTTCGAACCACAGCCCGGCTGGTCAGGTACCCACTTTTGGTGAAATCCCGTGCGCTTGGAAGACAGTCAGGGGTCTATTGGGAAACCCCTATGTATGGGGAGGGAAAAGAAAAGTCCCAAAACTAAAAAGACGTTTTTTTGGGATGACTTGGGCCCTTAACTTTTGGGCAAAAAAAACAGAGAAAGTATGGGAAGACCCTTGTGGGGGTGATCGGGGAAATTGGGGAAGGGAAGAATAAACTGGCGGAGGAAAAGGCTGTGAGTGAGAGGGGTTAAAGGGCTTAACCCCGTTGCTAGGTCGAAAGTGGTCAGGAGGCCGGAGACTGAACTTTTTCGAGGATGATGCAGGTGTGTGGGGAGGGGCCCCGCCAACACGCAGTGGTAAGGGCTTAGGGGGAGAAAAAAAAGGGGGTTTTCAAGGTCATTTTTTTTTTTTCTAACCCCCCATGGATGTTCTGGTTCTTTCGATCCCAAATGTACCGCAATGGTCTTAGGTTTCATTTTCCCAATGAGAGTTATTTGTGTATTTGTCCTTCCAGGAAAGGCATAAAACACAAAGTTTCCCCAAAATATTATTGTCCATCAGGTTACAAGATACTCAGAGTCGCACCACCTGTCACCATTCTCTCAGGTAAACCATACCCCCGGCCGGGATTGAACCCGCGGGTTCAATCCCGGCCGGGGGTATGGTTTATTTGCAATCGTGTCATTACGATTTCTTAAGTCATTCTCTCAGGTCACACACACACACACGAATCACAATACCTGGTAACACGCTCAATCACAGGTTGCACTATGCAAGGTAAGAGACCCACCAATACTAGGAGTAACAGTAGTATGGGAACAAGGACATACAGGGTGGCAGGATTACTACAAAGAAACACTACATCTTACTACCCATGACATTCGTGCGGGCAGCTTGGGGGGGGGATACTGTAATACTGCAGGCACCACTGCGTTTGAGGGGGTTGGGGTTCCAGCTCCTGGGCCTTTAGTAATGTGACTATACCAATTAGCATTTCATATACAGATGGGTAATTTCCCCTTCTCCCGGCACAAATTACTTATAAAACGTAAATAGTCACGATAACAATCAGAAAACATCGTTTCATGAGGATGTAAATGTTAAACGTTAAGAACAGGTAAGATAAGAGATAAGATTTCGTTCGGATTTTTAACCCCGGAGGGTTAGCCACCCAGGATAACCCAAGAAAGTCAGTGCGTCATCGAGGATTGTCTAACTTATTTCCATTGGGGTCCTTAATCTTGTCCCCCAGGATGCGACCCACACCAGTCGACTAACACCAGGTACCTATTTGCTGCTAGGTGAACAGGACAACAGGTGTAAGGAAACGTGTCGAAATGTTTCCACCCGCCGGGAATCGAACCCGGGCCCTCCGTGTGAAGCGGGAGCTTTAGCCACCAGCCAGCCAGAGGCCTCAAGTTATCTCGATTCTCCAGACAAAAATGAAGTGAAAAGAAAAGATAAAAAAGAGAAAAAGAATGAAAAGATAAAAAAGATAAAAAAGAAAGGAAAATGAAAACAAAAAGAAAAGAAATAAGACAAAGCAGAAGCTCAGACAACCATTACAGGTATCCCCTGAAGGGGAATAACTAATGCAAATTTTAATGCTTATGTTACCCTATGACTCTGCATGAAAATCCTGAATAGGTATCCTCAAGGACATACCTACAGATGGATACTCCTCCTGTTTGTTTCCGAACAGTAACCTAAGGTCTCCAGGGGATACCTACAGAGACTATCCTACTTAAATGCTACTTTTGTGGCTCAGTTTCCGAGAAATAACTGGAGACTTCTTAGGATCGACCTCAAACTTTTAACACTGCATGTTCAACTGCCTTCCAGCATACATAAGAGGGATTACCAATAGACCCTGGCTGTCTTCAAGAAGGCGCTGGACAGGCACTAAGTCAATACCAGACCAGCCGGGCTGTGGTTCGTACGTTGGTTTACGTGCCGCCAGCAGTAACAGCCTGGTTGATCAGGCCGTGATCCAATGTGAGGCCTGGTCACAGACCGGGCCGCGGAGCGATGTTCCCCGAAACCCTCTCCAGGTATACTCCAGGTATGTACTTTTCATATATTGATCCCTTAAGTGCCCTTCCTCTTTTGATTTACCTACAAATACCTCTCTTTTTGACCTATGAAATTGTTTAATTTTATTGTTATATCCTTTTAGGATTCCTTTTCATTTAATCTTTTTCACTTATCTTATTCTCTGTATTTTAGTTAAAAGTTTATGATTAGTACTGGCCATTTGCCAAAGAATTTCCATAATCAGTGTTTTGGTGGTATACTCGTTCTTCTGGTGTGGTTTAAGAATTAGCAGGTCTTAACTAAATTTACTGAACCTGTTCTCAAAACTAAAAAAAAAAAAAAATGATAACCGTGCCCTTGTCATAGAGCTGCCCCCGCCATGGGCTATAAAACGGCATAGCAAACCGTACAAACTCCGACATTCCTTTGGGAGCCACTGCCGGGCACCCCAAGAAGACCCGGCCAGAAACCCGTCTTGGCGAACCTTCCTGAACTTGAACCTTGTATTGTCTGTAATAACTTGACAATGCTCTTGGAGAGCGAACGTTGTCGTAATAAAATGTTCACATTAGTTGTGTATGCGTTCTTTTACTTATATTTAATGTTAAGAATACACTTTTATGGTAGCAATTTTTGGGGGTTAAAAGCATTAAGTAACCACATGACTAGCGTTTCGTAAATTATACAGGATAATTTAATATATTACCTTAGTAACTGCGCCACAAGGTCTGCACAACAGACCTTGGGGTAAGAGTTCATATTATATTGTGAATACAACACTGCGAGTGGTCTGCAGAGCAGGATAACAAAGCCTTCCTTATTACACATCATTTTTTTTAGCAAGGTGAAGTGCTACACCAGTGGTGGTTAATACTGCGTCTGGGGAATGAGAGGAAAACAGGTTTTATTCAAGGAAGGTCGGGTAGTTCCAAATTTCGGAACTCGAGCCATTCACCAGCATCAAGGAGAGACCTTATTTTACAAATTTAGTGAAGCTGACTACTACTCCCGTTGGTCTGTTTCCGAGCAATAACTTATTCTCCAGGGTAAACCTACTATACGGCTTGTAGCCATTTATATCATACAAAATAAAACTCAATAACACTAATGTTTCCTCACACCAACAACTGATTATAGTCCACTCACCGTATCGATGAAGTCGATGAACTTGGAGATGTAGTACCAGTAAGCAATGTTTAACATCTGTTGAGAGATGGTAGTAATGAGTGATGATACACTACAGGGTGAGAGATAGTAGTAATGAGTGATGATACACTACAGGGTGAGAGATAGTAGTAATGAGTGATGATACACTACAGGGTGAGAGATGGTATAATGAGTGTATGATACACTACAGGGTGAGAGATGGTAGTAATGAGTGATGATACACTACAGGGTGAGAGATAGTAGTAATGAGTGATGATACACTACAGGGTGAGAGATGGTAGTAATGAGTGATGATACACTACAGGGTGAGAGATGGTAGTAGTGAGTGATGATACACTACAGGGTGAGAGATGGTAGTAATGGGTGATGATTCACATGGTGAGAGAATGTAGTCATGAGTGATGATACACCACATGGTGAGAAATAGTAATGAGTGATGATACACATGGTGAGAGACTGTAGTCATGAGTGATGATTCACATGCTGAAAGAGTAATTTACAATTATAATCATACGGGAGCGCTAAACCCATAGGTAAGAGATTGTAAACACTGAAAGCATACCAAAGAAATTACTGTAAGAAACTATCTTTAAATTTAACTCGTCTGTTTCTCCTACCAAAACTGCGTTGCATATTTTGCCAGTTCACCAACAGCTGAGGCTTCAGGCGAATACATCTGCAGTGTCTTAGAATAAGTACAGATCCACTAAGGATAAGGAAAGTTTTCATGGGTTGGCCATGGAAGACTCACTTTACATATATTATTAAAATGCTTTTGCGGAGAAGAAAGAAAATCTTTTATCAGTCAAAAATAATATTAAAATTGTCTAAGTTTTATTTGGTGTCTTTAGTTGTCATGAATAATTTTTTTTATGGTTAGGGAACCTCAAGTCATCAGGGTCAGGGCCTCTATAGATCTGAGGACCTGATCATCTTCAGTCAAAAGAGGGCAGGATAGGTCCAAAGCCCTTCACCCGGCATCAAGGCCCCTTTGGGGGATCTGGATAAATATATTGGTAAAAAAGGGGTGGATTGATTAGTACTCGAGGTACTGAAGAAAAAATTTTTGAATGCTTGGGGAAAAGGTTGGACAAATAGGTGGGTATGAATGGATGGTTTTGAGAAGGTCGTGCCATATATGGGCTAGTAGGCCTATTGTAATGTTCCTTCATTCTTATATAGTCTTAGGACGAATCAGAGAGTAAGGGAGACTCACCCTAATGGCTTGTGGGTTGTCAGAGAAGTCGCGGGTCTGACACACCAACTTGTAGCTGCCGAACCATCCCCCATCCCGCCCTGTGAAGAGCACCCAGATATAAAAATGCGAAAGTTACGAGCGTGTTGCCTGACTCAGACAACATTACTTAAACCAAAGACAGTGATTTATTGACTAGTTATACTGACATTGTTACATTTAGCAAAGTATTGTTAAGGATAATAATAGGTAAATGTGAGTTTAGCGCATTTCTGCAATCATAAGAAGGAAGAAGAAAGAAGAAGGCTGTATTAAAAATATTAGCTAAACTTAGATACTTAAGGAAAACTTGGACGAGTCAATCTGAATAACAGCCTCAGGCTCCAATTAGAACTAAGAGGGAAAAAAATATCTCCATCTAAGAGTACAGGAATAGCAAAGATGCTACCTCGATTATTTTTAAAAATTTCACAGAGAAAGTTTAAGCTCGTAAGACATGCAGCGCCTGAGTAATGAAACGTAAACGGGTTTGATACAAGATAGGAATGAGAAATTTCTTGGTTCAAGAACTCTTCTCCAGAGTCAAGGTGAGGAAGGATCATTAGTCTCAAAACCCTTCATGAGAAGATCCATGAGGATGGTGAAGAGATCTTCATCCAATTAATTTGAGCTATTCTCCTCTTCAGGTCAGACCAGATTATTACACCAGGCGCTTTATGGCCCCACTGGAAATAACTCTTCCATCTACTGAAGAGGACCCTAAAAAGGGGGTCGAAATATACGAATCAATTAATCTCCCGAGTCTCTGTCTCCATGTGGGTTATTATAGAGTATTATAATAAAGAGTTACAATAAGTCATCCTTATGGTTCATGTTTTTTTTTTGGGGGGGGGGCGAATATGTATAACTTACCTCATAGAAAATCCACGCAGAAAACACGACTTGGAAGGCATTGTAGGAAATCATTATGGGTTTGAGTCCCTTGACAGGTTGTCTGTTGCTCATGTAGAGTGGTCCCCACCACGTTACAATGGCGATGTAGATGAGGGAGACGACGAGGCCGGGAAGGGAAGACTTCATGAGGAGCCAGGAGTCCTGTCGAGAGTCAGGAGGCAGCTGGCTGGCCACCGTCAGGTCTCCGTACACGTAACTGAAGATAGTGATCCATGCTGCCCATTTTCCCTTGGACTTCAGCTCTTTCAGAGAAACTATTAAAAAAAGAGCGAAGAGCATTAGATTTTAGACACTGATATACGTTTTCTAAACTGCTTAAGTAACACAGCCTTAATTAAGGCTATTAGACTAGTTTATATTTTGACTCAAGAAATCGTAATGACACGATTGTAAACAAACCATACCCCCGGCCAGGATTGAACCCGCGGTCATAGAGTCTCAAAACTCCAGCCCGTCGCGTTAGCCACTAGACCAGCTAGCCACAATAAGATTAATCCAACTAGGTATATTTCTACACCATAGGAAGGTTAGCACAGGCACCTCTGTGACCACAAATGGTGTAGAAATATACCTAGGGTTTATATTTTATTAATATAATCAAGGAGGAAGCGCTAAACCCGGAGGATTATACAGCGCCTAGGGGGGGGGGATGTGGAAGGCATTCAGGCTTAATTCGGGGAACTGGAGCACGGATCCAATTCCCTAAATCAAGAGCCCCTCACCAACATCAAAGAACCTTCCTTGAGGGGAGACTAATTTATACTTCCTGATGTGAAGCCAAAGTGGCCAGGCTATGCTAAAACTACATTATATAGTAATGTTTGGTTTCTATTTTACAGAATGGGCATAAATGCGGTTTTTTTTTTTTTTACAAAAATCAAATTTACAGGCTAAGAACTATTATCTTATCCGAGCTTATTTCAAAGCCCAGCTGTGTCTAAGGTATACTACCACCCCCAGGATGCGACCAACAACAGTCGACTAATACCCAAGTACCTACTTAATGTTAGGTGAAGAGGGACAGCAGGTGTAAGGAAGCATACCCAACGTTTCCATCTATGCCTGGGATCGAACCACTGACACTCAGTGTGTGAGGTGAGTGCGCTGCCAACCGAGCCACACACAAAAATAGGAGAAAACCCTATATCAATAATATTTCCTTCTAAGCTGCTAAAAGAACCATGAGTTTTATGACTCACTTGCCACGGGTTCGAGACCCACCCGCTCGATATGTCTCCAAAGGCTTCATCAATCCAGTAAAGATAGACCACTAAAAGCAGTAATATAGAACAAAATCAGTTGATGTGGGAGTTGATGGCACTGATGTCCCTTAATGACAATGTCATGATGATTCAACATTAATGTACCAATATGTTGTAAAGGTTGAAACCGAGTTTTTGCAGATGTATTTTAAGAAATAACAGTAGATTCCAGATGATTATTAAATGAATAAAAGACTGATTTTCAGAACTGACAATACTTCGACTCTGCGCATTTTATAGCAATGGTATACAATACCGATTAGATAACAAACTAGACATGTGCAACATCTGAGTATCTTGTAGAAGTTTGGCCATCCAGTGTCTGAGGGACTGACTACCTCATCTTCCACTGTCTGCTGCATATACTTCTAATGTTCATATTATGCCCGTGGATTGTACGATAAAACCACTGGATGGCGAAAAGTCTGCAAGTAAAAATACCAGAATGTGGCACATGTATCTAATTCATCAGCTTGTTAAATAGTATGTTAATTCCGTGAAGGACCTTGAGAAGGATGTATCCATCATGATAACCACTGTTGACAGGAAGAGTCATCTTGAGCGTCTAAGATTACAACACTAATTCCTCTCAACTATCAGAGTACCTAAAAGCTTCTAAGCATCACCAATGGGTTACACTCGTCAAAAAATTTCTTTCTAAAATGAGTCTAATTCTCAAATGTACAGAACATGGCGAGAATACTCCTTCACCTCATTCCAAGCAATTTTAGACCAGCGTGCAGGTATGGGCTCCCAAAGACCCATCAATGCTGTATAGCCCTTGTGGCTTAGCGCTTCTTTTGATAATTAATAATAATAATAATAATAATAATAATAATAATAATAATAATAATAATAATAATAATAAAAATTAAACTCAAGTTCCATTAATGCTGGAGATAAATACCTACACGATTGAAAAAATACTCAAATTCAGTATATATGGTCTTCTATTGACTACATTTCGCCCACACAGTGGGATTTGCCAAGTCAAAAACAGAGCTACCTGAGCAGAGAGTATATGAGCATATGTAACAGGCATAAGGGCGTGGAGAGTCAGGTGGAGAATGTTTGAGAAGGTTGGATTGGAGACAGACCTGCACGGATGAATAGGTGGGTTTGTTGCTATGTAGGATAACGATGAAGGAGTTTCCTGGCGAGTGTTTCAGCTATGTTGTAAAAGTTACTGTCCTTTTGAAATTATACAGGCGAGTCATGATTTCAAGATCCTGCAACACCGAGTGTCCTCTTCGGCGAAACGTAGTCAATAAAGGCTCGCATTATACTGTATTCGTATATTTTTCCAAAGTTTATTACTTTTGGCATTAATAGAGCTCAGACAGCACATACTCAGCAAAGTTTTTTGCAAAGTACATCAAACCTTATAGGATCTCATAATGCGCACTTTAAA